GGAGGTACTCAGAGTAGGTAGACACTTGGTCTTGGAGTCGGTAGAGCAAGTAATCTATTTTGGATAAATATAGCATTCGGCAACGTCATTGGGGGACGGTGAGACTGTAGGAGTTTCAGGGCGAGACGCCAGCGATCTTGGCTGGGGGCTTGCTTTTGCTTCGTTTATTTTGATTTTGGTTTTTTCTTTTGGAGTCAGGGGGTGTGATTCCTCTTTTGTTTGTCTGCATATCCTGCAGATTGCCATTGCATCTGTATGCTGTGGATGTAGAAGAGATTATCCTTGTAGAGTGTTGTGTTGCTGGGTAAATGGATGTGTCTATGGGATTTGTCGGAATAGGTGAGGGGTTTCTTTTCTCTTCTTCTCCACCCACCTCATCATCATTGTCCACCTCGATCCTGTCCATTCATGCATTAGCCGAGTGACTTTTAACCTTTTGTTTTGTAATTATGATGATAATCATGATGATTACCACCTTTGACATTGTACAAGTTTGCCGCAAGGATGCCGATGCCACATCTGCAGATTGGGCGCCTGTTGATCACTGGCCACCGCATCTCTGCATTTTTGCAATTCTATTGAGTAGTTCCTACTCTTCTGCAGGACCAAGACAGTGACAAATAAGCTGCCATATATACCATAATCATAACCGCTGCAGGGAAGAATCAGACCCTCCAGGGAATCAGGGACTGAGGCCGGGTCTAGGCTGAGTGTCCCCGCAGTCGCCGGCATTCTCGCTTTGATTAGTTAGTCCATTCGAGGTATGTGAATAATGTGAGCTCGTCTCCATCAGAGTAGTAGTTCGTTTTACTTGACTCCTATGGAGTAGTCTAGTCTCTCTTCTCCTCGATCTGGACAACCCTGATCAAGATGATTGGTGGCTCTTCGCGCTCCCTGGTCACTTTCTGCTCTGTTCCTGCACTAGCGCGCGACTCCAGACCGACTGCATTTTCAGTGCATGACGGCCAATTGGCCCCTGAGGCGTTTCACATTCTCATCGCTTATTGGCAACAGGGTTCTTGTCTCTCGGTTTCACCGGCTAACTCAGGCACCACCTGCCAAACCACCTGCCAAACGGCTGCTGCATTATTGTTGATGTGTTGAAAAGAGGCGTTCCTCAGAATGTCTTACTTTTTTTTTTTGGGCTCAATGCTTGACAAAGATGCTCCGCCGGGTGTCCTGTGAATGGCCCGTTTGAACTGGCCCATTGTGCCAGACCACCAGGGCCTTTGTCCTTTGTGACTTTGTCCCTATTGATGGATCATGCGGGACTGGTGGTTGTTTCACTTGCACCTCCAGAACCAGTCAATGGCATGCAGTGTTGTAACTTGTAATGCTGTGGCTCGTCTCACGTCCCAGGGCCCTGCAGCCGGCTTTTAAAAAGAGCTGTATGCCCTCTTCCGCTTCAGAAGACCTAAGCGTTTTGTTGTCTGTTTTTCTAGTTCTATTATTTTGCCTTGGCTCTGACCAAGTCGACCCTCGCTTTCTTTTCTATCATTGTCGTTGCTCTTTGGTGGACTGTGATCCCAGAGACGCCCATTCACCCGTCGGATTCACTCTTTGTGCCTTCGGGGTCATTGCCATTATTCTATTCATAGACTCTGCTCTCGAATTATTGTTGTCGCTGGTGTACGATATCAATAATAGTAGTACTCTTCTTCTAGATCTTCTTTCGGCTCAACTCAACTTCGACCTCGACTCTTTCTTCCTGTCTTCATCCCCTGTCTGTCGCTCGAACACACATACAAACTCAACATGAAGGCCGTTTCGGTCACTCTCGTTTCTCTTTTCGCCGTGGCCCAGGCCACAGGCTCGGTGAGTGTCCCTGAAGTCTCTTGCTTGTATACCTTCCTGACTTTCTCCAGTGGTGGGTCACGGACAAGTGCTACTCCAGTCCCGAGAACACCGACAACGAGTGCACTGAACATCAGAAAGGTGGCTGGAACTGGTCTGACCTTACTACCGGTTCCTTCTCCTCGTATGGAGGCTTCGATTTCTCGGGTTTCACCTGCAGTGACAGCTTCAGCGCTGGCGGCAAGCGTAGCTTCGGTGGTGTAAGTCCGCTCAATCTTCTCCTTCCACATCACAAAAGCACATGCTGATCGCGCACAGGGTAAATGCATTGAAGGAAAGCTCTCCTCTGCTCCCAAGATCTCCTGCGGCCAAGAGCAAAAGGGGTTCTCCATTAGCAAGCTGCACCTCTCCACCTCCAAGGAGACCGACGTGCACATCGTCTATGGCATGCCTGATGGTTCGACCTGCCGTAACGTCGCTTCTTGCTCGCCCGAGGGCACCCAGGTCAGCAACGACCAGTGCGGTGGTGCCACCTCCGTGAGTTTCGAGCACCCCGAGGGATCAGAGGATGATGACTGTGACATCGGTGTCCACAGCATTGACTTTGACTGCTCTCCTGGCAAAACCACCTCGACTTCCACCGCTGCTGTGCCAACTGAGACTGGTGTCAGCCCCGAATCATCCTCCACTCCCGTTAGCCCGGAGTCGTCCACTCCCGTCATTCCCACTCCTCGTCCTTCCTCGTCTGGTGTGGTCCCCACGTCGTCTTCTGCAGCCATCACGACGCCCAGCCCTGTCAGCACTCCTGTCCAGTGGACCACCTCGACCGTGTACACTACTAGTGAGATCACCATCACCAGCTGCGCTCCCACGGTGACCAACTGCCCCGCCAATTCGGTCAGCGTCATTACTTCAACCATTGCAGTTTCGACCACCGTGTGCCCCGTTACTGCCACCGAGACTGCCTCTGTCTCTCTGCCTTCTTCTGTTGCTGCGGGCTCGAGCTCTGGAAGCTCGACCCCTGAGGTCACTCCTTCTGAGACTGCTACCGAGACTGGTCCATCCGAGACCGACACCGAGGTTCCTTCCGAAACTCCCTCTGAGACCTCCCCTGAAAGCACCCCTACTGGCAGCTCTCCCGTCGAGTCTAGCTCCTCCACCCCGGCCATCACGGCACCTGCGACGCCTGCTCCTTCCAGCACTGCCCCTGCCATCACTGGGGATGTCACCACGACTGTTGTAACATACGAGACTGTGACCACCTGCCCTGTCACTGAGACCATTACTTCCAGCGGCACCGTCACTACCTCCACCTACAGCACTGTCTCTACAGTCACTCTGACTTCCACTTCGACCATCTGCACGGCCTGCGAGGCCAGCACCACTCCCGCCCCCTCGTCGGTCGCCCCTGTCACCACTGGCCCTGCCACTGGCCCTGCCCCTGAGGACTCGACCACTACCGTGGTGACCTACGAGACTGTGACCACCTGCCCTGTCACTGAGACCATCACTTCCAGCGGCACCGTCACTACCTCCACCTATAGCACTGTCTCGACCGTCACTCTGACCTCGACCGCCACCGTCTGCACTCGCTGCACCGCGGGAAGCACTACCCTTCCCTCAGGCCAGTCCCCCGTCACCGCCAGCGAGACCAGCGACGTGCCCTCCGTGACCGCCACTCCTTCGTCCGTTCCCTCGGCCCCTTGCCCCAACGTCGTGCCCAAGTGTATCAACACCTGGCTCAACCTGCTCCCCAAGTGCGACTCCAACAGTGACGCCACCTGCTTCTGCCCGTCCTCCGAATTCACCGACAAGGTCATCGCCTGTGTGCAGTCCTGGGGAGCCTCACAGTCGGAGGTCCAGGCCGCTTTGTCCTACTTCACCGGTATCTGCGCGGCCTACGTGCCCCAGAACCCCGGAATCGTGACCGCCATCCCGACCACCATCACCCTGGTCCCCACCATCACCCCCACCGGCGTTGACGCAGTCACCGCTCAGCCTACTGGCAGTGCCACTGCCACTGCCACCGGCGCTGGGACCGTCACGCCCGGTCCCGAGGCCTCCTCCGCCCCCTGCACCACCATCACCTACTCCTCGTACACCGTGACGGTGCCCCAGGTCGCTTTCTCAACCGCCACCGGCGGCTCGACCACTACCGTCGGTCTGATCCCCGGCCCGGCCCCGACCTCGGGTGTCTCCGCGGGCACCACAACCCGTATTCCCAACCCCTGGCTGTCCTCCTCGACGCTGGTGACCCACCCAGGCACCGCGTCGGCTACTGCCTCTCCGACCACTGGTCCCCTCCTGTCCAACGATGCCTCCTCGGGCTCCGTCTCGAGCATGGTCTGGGCTGTCGTCGTCGCGGCCCTCTTTGGCGCTCTCTACTAATCTGCCTGCGAAAATGTGCTTTTCCCGTCGCAAAGTGTAACTGCTTGCAACCTCCGTTCTTTTTTAGCCCAGATAATCTCTGATAAATAATACTGTATTTCAGTCTCTTGCTGTTATTTCTTCCTGGACAATACTAGATAATGGTCGAGAGCCTTCCAGCCTGTTTGAGGGTAAAGGAATACAATACATCTGTGCCAATGTACCTGGATATGTCTTGGCTTCCCTTGGGTCCTTCTCATTAGTGACTTTACTAAATCCGTTCTGATGCTGAAGGGACGATCTATTTTAGATGATTACCAGCACCTAGTCTGGGTTGTCAACCAACGATCATTTTCTACCTAATACAAAGATCTTGAAGCACATGTCTCATAGACAACTGCTTGCTACACTACAAGGCTAGATATTTCCAGCACACTAGACCTACCTAGGTCCTATGATTGCTGGTTCTGCGACCATGGTGGATTGCACTACATTAGCATTTTCAGGTGAGTTTTTGTATGTATGTTGTTACTGATCAATACCGATATCATAAAATATGCTGAGACGAGATCTCGTAGACGAGTTATAAGTTCTTACCTTGAGGGGAAGGGCCACTTATCTGAATGTGTTGAGCATGATTGTTGCCGTGTCTCGTTCGCTCAAAGAGAGAGGGATTTGTTCTTCCATGGAATATCCTGTACTGCTACCCATAGAATTTTTGCTTCATGAATAGTGCGTTACACATTATAAGAAGAAGTAATGATCTCTGCAAAGAGCTCCTGCAATCAAGAGTGCATTGGCTTAATCTCAACGGTTCTGTACTCTGTATAATCGTGGAACTAAAAGTAAAACCCCACATCCTCCTCCCACGGCGCCCTCGCCCTCAGATAACTGACCCCATGCACATACCGACTCAACATGGGCTCCTCATCGATCGCACAATGCGGCCGTTCATCCCGCCCCTTGAACCAACCAAGCCCATACCTCTTGTTCCGGCTCACCAGCATCTCCGCCATCTCGGCATTGCTGAACCGTTCCGTCCCCACGAAATCATCTAGCATCCGCGACTGGTGCACGAACGCCAGGATCGAGGCAATGGTGTTCGGCTGGCGGGGCATAAACGGTCTCCGGTAACGGACGAACACCAGCAGCGCTGAGACGATGAGGACGGCAACGATGGCGATGGAGAGGATGAGCGAGGAGAGGACCGAGCGCGGGGTCTCGGAGCGGGCGTTGAGCGAGAGCGAGGAGAGCGTTACCGTTAGGATATCCGCGAGGATGGAGCCCGTGCCGACCAGCGCGACGAGGTAGTGTTTGTTCAGGAGGGCTTGCAGGACTAGCACGCCGTAGGGTGTGCCCTGGTAGTCGAGCGTGAGGGTCTGGTCTGGGCGGGCGCGGCCGTGCGCGAGGGTGTGGAAGGGCTGCAGCATTTTGAGGCCGAATTCGAGGGTGGACCAGAGCTGCTTGATGGTTGTTGCCAGGAGGATGGGGAGCCAGGGGGTAGAGCGGGCGACGGTTTTGAGGGGGGTGTAGGCGATTGCTGGGATGAAGGGGAGGGAGATAGCCATGGCGATCATGAAGGACATGAGAGGGATGGGGCGGAGGAGGATGGGGT